CTGCGGATGGGACGCCCCAGGCACGGGCGCGCGCCTGCCCTGGGGCCCTCACCGCGGGGTCCCCAGGGACTATACGTGCAACTCTTTGTTCGTCCCTCACCCAAAGCCCGCGGACCTAGGACCCGCCCTGCACCACAGGAAAGGACAGCTCGCCCGCCGCCCCGACCCGCCATTGTGCTTTCTCTGAGGGGTGGGGGCACCGTGCGTTACGTCTCCCGCAGGGACAGCTCCTTCTACCTGCGGCGCATCCCTTGCTCCAGTCAGGCCTGGGTTGGCAGCTGCAGAGCCCAGGCACGGTGAGCGCTCCGTGTGCGCGGTGGTACCTCGGCGTCCAAACCTCCTCCCAGGTGCAGGTGGCCGCTGGGGACACCCGACGAGACTGTCCCGGATTCTGCAGTGGGTTAGAGTGGGCTGAAAGTGAATTTCCCTCGAGGAACGGCTTTGCCTGACCTAGTCCTGTGCAGCTGGCCTGGCCACGAGTGGGTGGGGAAGGCTTGTGCCCGCCTGGAGCCAGAACCACCCCTGGCGTCCACCAAGCATTTATTGAGCACCAGCTGTGTGCATGGCGGTGAGGCCTTCGCTCAGGCCTCAGACACTTTCGTTTAGTATAGGGAGGGAGAACAACTTTGGATGGGGTTGAACCATATAAATGGATGCTTTTGTAGGTCAAAAACTACTGAAAACCACTCTGGTGGCACCCTCCTTTCCCCAAGTGAGAGTCGCAGAGCCTGGTGATGATCTAGGGCTGGGGGGGCGGTGCTGGGGCTGCAACCCTGCAGAAGGAACCTTCCTTCCTCCTTAGAGGAGCACAAGGTGGCTGGGGGCTGGAGGAGGGTGGTCTCTGGAGCTACTGCTTTCCTCTGGTGACGGGTCCCTCGGGAACGCTCACAGGCAGCAGGCTGGACACTGCCATGGCTTGGCCTAACGGCGTGCCTGGGCTGCATGCCCCTCTCTGGGTCTGTTCCCATCCTGAGGTGCGCTCCCAGCAGGTTTGAGCTTGGGGACAGCCCTGGGCTGCCTGCCCCCTCTCTCTTTGCCCAGCCCTCCGCGCATTCACCTGCCCGGCCTCACAGACACTCGGGGCATCCTTGACCCACACCAGTGTAGTCCTCAGTCCTCTGTTTCTGCCTGGTGCTCCAGAGCCCAAGCAAAACACGTACTTGGGTCAGAAGCTGCCCCGGGTTCAAATTCTATGATCATCATGTGAAACTGGGCAGCTACTTCAGCTTTAAAAATGAGACCACACCCCGCTCCCACTTTGCAGGGGACTGAATGAGTTAATATTCAGAAAGTGCGGAAAACAGAATCTAGGCAATTGGTGTTCCCAGCCTCCCTCTCCCCACCAGCTACACCTAAATGGTTGGGCTCGCAGTGTTTGCAGGACTCTGGACAAAGGAACGATACTCTCAGCAGAATCTTCTCATGTTCTGTGACCTTGCTGAGTGTCCTGGAACCTGCTACCCAGTGCCCAACATGCTTGGTAGCTGCTTGGCAGCCCCTCGGCCTCTGAAGAACGAGACAGCCACGGCAGAGCAGGCCTCAAAAACTCCCGCCTTCCCGCCCTTGAGAAACCCAGGAGTTTCGGGCTGTGGTTTCCTTGCTGGGTGTCAGGCCCTGGGGAGCTGCCAGCCACCTTTCAACCCTCCCGCCTCGTGAGCAGAGCCAGGATTGTGTAAGAGCCGCCGCCACCACCCCGCGGCTGCCTCCCTGCACGCCCCGGCCTGCCCAGCCTGCAGGGACCTGGCCAGGCCAAGCCACCCCGGGAAGCTCCCGCCTGGCAGCAGAAGGTGGAGAAAGCTCTGGACCTTCGACGCCTGACCCGGCTGGTGCCAAGGCCTGGAGAGCCCACGCGCCAGACGAAAGGAGGCTGGGGAAGGCCTCCTGCCATCGTGCCAGCCTCCCATGTCTCCAGGAATCCTGTGCCTTTTCCCAGCCCTCTTCCTGCCCTCTCCTCTCAGCGTGGCACCGGTTGGCAGAGCTGAGCTCCGTCCGGGTGTTTTGCTGGAGCTCTGGCTACATGGGCGAGGGGGGCACCTGGCTGCGGTAGGGAAGGTGAGGGCTGGGGGTACTTGGGAGCCACCAACACAGCCACTGCCACCTCCCCTTCCTGCCACATGGCTCATAAGAGAGTACGGCAGGCCCAGCCAGAGGGTCTGTGTCCTTACCAAGCCAGTGCTGTGGCAAAGAGCCTGATGCTGAGGGATGAGCTGCTTGCACAACTACTAGTCTCCAGTGGGTCTTTTCCACCTTCACATCCCCTGTGAAGCTGTCACCCCTTGTTCAAGGATAGAAGACATTGGATTAGTCTGGTGTGGTGGTGCACACCTGCAGTCCCAGCATTCGGGAGGCTGAGGCAGGAGGATTGCTGAAAGTTCCCTGCTAGCCTGGGCTTCATAGTGAGTTTGAGCCAGGCCCTGTCTCAAAAAAAAAA